TTGTTGTTGTTGTTGTTGTTGTTGTTGTTGTTGTTGTTGTTGTTGTTGTTGTTGTTGTTGTTGTTGTTGTTGTTGTTGTTGTTGTTGTTGTTGTTGTTGTTGTTGTTGTTGTTGTTGTTGTTATTATTGTCGTATTATTGTTATTTATAATTTGTATAATTAACCTCCTTGTGGTTCAACTCCGGTCTTGCCGGGTTATTTATTACTTCGACACTCCTGCACTTGGAAGAAGACATTAATCTTTTAATCGTGTCAATGACACTACACATTTTTTTGAAGTGAAGGAAATCAAGGTATACCCCTAATGCCACTAAGGTCAGATTCATTGGAAAGCTAACATCCTTACTAAGATAGGTGTCATTTTGCTTATGACCATGAGGACAAATTAAATTAAATGGTGATGAATACTGATAGTCTGAAAGAAACTGTTTAACTTGTGATATTCAATAACTCTTTAATTAAAGCATGTTTTATAATAACATATCTAATAATATAAGATACCTTTAATTCATAGTAAATGTTTATTTTAAATGCAAGCCTATCACATAAATGAAAGGATTGATTGATGAATTTAAGAACTGAAATTGAAAGGATAAAGAGATGGCCAAACTTTGAAAAGAGATGTCGGTGCAGTCTAAACTAGAACACTGTTTTGTAATTGGGTCATATCTGGAGCAATAGATCTCAGATTTAGGTCTATTTTATATGGATGGAAAGGTAAGGCATAGGCCTACAACTTTTATATGGAGTCCAAGACTTAAAAAGTCCATTTTCAAAGTTCAAATTGTAGCAACAAAAAAGAAGTCCAAATTATAGCAACAACAAAGAAGTCCAAATTTATCCTCCAACCTCAGCACTGTTTAGTATTTAGCCCATATCTGGAGTTCTAGAAGTTCAGATGACCTCAATGTTTTATATAAGAAAGCTAAGACAATTTCCTACAACTTTCATGCTTTCAAGTGGTTTCAATTTTGACGTTATCAATAACGTTTTGGGCGGATAAGAAAAGATAAGGATTGTCACCAAGTCAAGAGTTGGTCACCCACTCATTAATTAGTCATCAAATCAATAGTACCCAATTTTGGCCTATAAAAGGAGGTATTTGCTATGCATTTAGGCATCTTAGTTTCCAGATTAAGATCATACTCTTACTTTCTCTCTTTGTATTTTTTGTAATGTTTATGCTTTGCTTTCATTAATATAAAGTTTATGTCATTCATTTCCTTTCATTTACTTAGTTAACTTCTATCTTATTGATGTTCTTAATTTGTTTATTTATTTTTCTTTCTTTCATTATATTTAACTAAGTTTATTATGTCAAGGTGAAAATATTACACTAATGGTGTAAGAATAAGTATAATGTAAACTTAATATGGACTTTAATGTTTGATACTAACATGTTTTGTATTTGTTATCTTATTCACTCTTTAATACTTTGCTTGTTAAATGACTAATCTAGATTTATGTTGTATAACACTTGGTACATCAAATGCTTGGCACTTTCATAGCTCATACTGTATGGTATAACCAACACCTAAGCTATGAAAGGAACTTGATTTGTTGTTAACATAAGTTATAACCATAAATGTCTAACAAGATTTATAAGTATTAGTATTAATTGAATAAGATAATTGATGTAATCATGTTAACAATTTATAATCTTAGTCTAATGCCTTGGTATGATTAAAATATCAATTTTCTTGCTTCAAGAGATTTTCTAGCTCATTAGAGTACCTAAGACAAAGAAAAAATTTTGAACGAAGTAAAGAACTTTTATTGGGATGACCTTAACTTATTCAAATATTGTCCTAATCAAATATTTCAAAGATGCATTCCTGACAATGAGGTAAGTAGTGTCATTCAACTTTATCATTATGAAGCATGTTGGAGTTATTTCTCGTAAAAAAAATAACCGTAAAAATCTTTCAAAATGAAATTTATTGGCCTACCATGTTCAAGGACTCACATGCATTTTGCAAAGCTTATGAAAATTATCAAAAGTCAGGATTCATTTCAAAACATAAGGAATCTTTAGCTAATCTTTTATTGACTTTTAAGGCATATCCTAGTAGAGATATGCATTGTTCAATTCATGATTATGACCCCATTTTCATAAAAAACATGATTAACTTAATATCGAGAATCTGACTAAAAAAGATCTGTTTGCTGGTTTTTAAGAAAACTGAATGGGAAGCCTATCCCCGACCTATAAAGGGCATTTAAGCCATTCTTGGAAGTAAAAATAAGGGAAGATGTAAGCCACAATACAACTACCTGTACATATACTTTTTCAAAAATAAATAAATAAATAAAGAGAGAGAGAGAGAAAGAGAGAGAGTGTATGAGACTCTAGCTAGCCTACATATAGGTGGTATGATTGTCTTTTTTAATTTCTCATCTATAAAATCCTCTCTTCCTTTCATTTCTACTCAACCTTTACATTCAAAAAATATAGAAGTGTGTAGAAATGGCAAGTTCCTTAAGTCATCAAATAAGAAGTATTTGTATTTTTGGTGGATTTAGTCCTGGAAATGAAAATGAGTTTTTAGAATCAGCAAATCATCCTAGTCAAGTGCTAGCTAAGAGAAAGATTCATTTAGTGTATGGGGGAGACAATTTTAGGTTAATGGGAAGTGTGTCAATAGTTGTATTTTTAAAAGGTAGTCAAGTTTTGAGAGTCGTCCCTAAAGCTTTAGCACAAGGGGACATCATTGGAAAAACAATTGGGGATGAACTACAAGTCTCCACAATGTTTGCTCGAATGAATGCAATGTTTAACAATGTTGATGCCTTCATTGCCTTACTAGGTGGTCTAGACATATTGGAAGAGATCTTTCATATTTCCTCTTGGGCCCAACTGCACATTCATCATAAACCCTTTGGTCTGTTAAATGTTAATGATTATTATGATAACTTGTTGTCTTTTCTTGATCATGCTGTTGAACAAGAATTTCTAACATCTTCTACACAACAAATCATAATCTTTACTGCTACTGCTAAACAATTGATTGACTAACTACAATCTTTCATTCCTGTATTGATCCCTTTATGAGTCGCATAAATTGATCATCTAAGGAAAGCCGTAAAAAGTTTAGATTGAATTTGAGTCTTCATTTGTGAGTTTTAGTGTCTTTTTATTTTATTATTATGTCTTTTTATTTCTTATTTTTGTTTAAGTGTGTTTCAGGTTTATCAATGTTTGTTATTTCAGGTGATGTCTTCTATACTCTATATTTCTACACACTTTATTTTCAGAAGTAAAAGAGAACATGCTCTCATTCATAAAATATACAGGGAGACAACTACCTAAAGAGAAAACCAAAAGTATACTAACAGGTGTCAAAGATAACTAACCAAAAAAAATACCAATAAAAAAAAAATTTAATAGCAAACGCAATCAGCAGTTAAGAAAACCACTGATGGCTACTGAAACACATAAATGTCATTAATAGAAGGCTTGGAACCCCAACAGTAAAAGCAAAATAAACTCAACCAACATTTAGTTGGGAGTGGTCCGTAATATGAAAGTGAAATATTGTATAGAATAAGATTTGAAATCTCTTGAAGACTCTCTCAACCCCCAAGTATTTTTCTTCACGCTTGTTCCTTTTTTCCTATATAAGGTAGACACGGATGCTCAAGAAAACTCTACGCATCCGAGCTTTAAAATCGCTTTTTCTAAACCTGAGACCACGCAAAGCACTATATAAAGTCATCATGCTTCTGTCAATCTGCAGCCATGACTTAATTTTTCCATATAAGTAGGATGTTCATTAACATGCAAAAAACAAATGGTCATGCGACTCCTCCTCACGCTGGCAAAACACATAAAGAGGATCACTGAAAAAAAAGGCAACCTATCTCGAGTATGAAGTTTCTTCTGAACTGCCACCTATAAAATAAAGCCACAAGGTTTAATTATTTTGATTGACCTTCGAGTGGCTGATCATAGGCAGAGCAGAATACAACGCTTGTCCTGCCATGATCTTGTTTGTGCGTAGATTAAAAAAGTATGTGCTACAAGTAAAATTATGAGATAATTATTCATTTATAGAATAGGATATAGAGTGTGTGGCATGTAGTTTTATTTGTTGAAAAAAAAAAGAGAAGAAAAAGAGAAGAGAGAGAGAAAGATAAGTGGGTTGGTTGTTAGGCAAGTTGGCCAACCAATCGGTCTTGCTATCCAATAGGCGACCAGCAAGGTTGTCTGGGCAAGGCACATAACATTCCAAAGGTTTTTTGTTAAAAAAAAATTAGTTTATTATTTTTTTTACCATCAGTTCCATACTTCTACTACTAAATTAAATTCATATTAGGTATGTAACTAAAAAGAAAATGTTCATGCTGGGTAAAACCAAGACCTACATTCATCTTATTCAATAAACATCTTAAGCTATTACAATACTTTAAATCGACACTCCAAATCAATAGTTGAAAATTCGTTTACATATACATATATAATGCAGTCCAACGCACATGAGATCTCCCATTAAAATAATAAAAAAATTATTAAACTGTATTCTTGGATTTTAACATAAGAGTTTGAAACTTTTGAATTGATTGGTTAAATCACTGGAAGGTATAAGATGTAGAATCTCATGCCACAGTGCATTATGTTCATTAAACCATGGATTCTCCCACCTGCACAGTGTATATGAGTTATATATTCAAGTTAAGAATTTCCTTTGAGTTATATATTCAAGTTAAGAATTTTCCTAACAACAATCATCTTTTTTGAGTTATAAATTTAAGCTAAGAATTTCCCTGGGACAATCATCTTTTTTGAGTTAGGGGACATATTTTCCCCTTTTCCTTTTCAAGATGCTGCTTTAACCATAGCCAAGACTGCTCTCTCTCTCTTGCTATGTCCTGGATTCCAGAACAAATGCGTGAAGTATTTGAGTAATCAAAGTATATATCCTTGCAAATAAAACAAAAGTAAGATTCACACAACTTCAGATTCCATTGACATTCAGTCTGGCCTATTTAAATTAGAAGTCCTGCTGTCTGATATGTAGCTGATTCAGGTAAAATAATATTTTCTTTCGCTATGCCTAGCGTAGAAATAAACATAGTTCAAAACTCGATTCCGAGAGATCACATGGAAAATACAAAGATAGATAGCGAGTTATATGAGTGTGTGAAGAAGGACAATATTGACGAATTTAAAAGCCGCATCCAGCAACGTTTAACAGAGAAGCTTGTGACTCCCTGTGGGAACTCATTACTTCATGTAGCTGTAAGCTATGGAAGTGACAATATTACATCTTATCTGGCTCGAACGTTTCCTTCTCTCATCACCATCCAAAACAGCCAGAAGGACACAATCCTTCATCTTGCTGCCAGAGAAGGAAAGGCCAGTCATGCAATTCGAGACCTTGTCAATTCGAATGCTTTCTTGCTGAGGACTACAAATACAGAAAGAAACACTCCTTTGCATGTTGCAGTGATCAATGGTAACAAAGAAGTTGCCAAATTCCTCATTTCCAGAGATCCAGAAGTGGCCTATTACAAAAACAAGACTTGCAGGTCTCCTTTATATCTGGCTGTTGAAAATTGCGATGGCGACATGAACGGGATTCTTGATGATCTCTTGAATCAGGAAGCTTCGATCCCTACAGAAAGAGAAGATGGAGATTCACTTCGCATGCTACGACAAGGAAAGTCCCCTGTTCATGCTGCCGTCAAGAACCGTATCATAGGTGATCACAGTGTCTCCTCTCATCAGAAAAATGATATACATACCCAATCTTGCAAACCTATCATCTTTATATTCATTCAAAACAATTTATTTTTATTTTCAGGTATACTGAAGAAAATCGAAGAAGCAAAGCCAGAGTTATTAGGTCTCCATGACAAAGACTTTGGAAATCCACTCCATTATGCATCATCTACAGGCTATGTGGAAGGAGTTCAATTCCTATTACAGAAGTATCGTGCCGGTGCAGATGAAACTGACCAAAAGGGCAACTATCCAATTCATCTTGCATGCAAGGAAGGCTCGGTTGCTTTGTTAAAGGAATTCCTGAAAGTTATCCCCTATGCAAACGAATTCATAAATAAAAAAAAGCAGAACATTCTTCATGTAGCGGCCCAAAATGGACATGGCTTTTTGATTATGTACATACTCGAACAGGATCAGAAGATCGTAAAAGCACTGCTCAATGCGATGGATGAGGATGGAAATACACCTTTGCATTTGGCAACACAGCACGGCCAGCCCACATCTGTATTTCTTATTGTGCGTGACAGCCGCGTTTATCCTCGTATTGTTAACGATGACGGTTTGACACCATATGAACTTGGTAGAAAACAATCCACAATAGCGGTACAGCGATATGAAGGAACAGATGAAACGGTATGAAGAGCTACAAGAGTACCATTTTTAGTATTATAATTGCATTAATAATTTGGTAACAATGCTTCCTCTTTGTTTCCAGTTTGCTAAGAAGCGACAGCACACTGATTCAAATAACAGGGTGGAAGGCACAGAGGTATTAGAGAACTGTTGATACTTGCTGTGCTTGCATTTTTAAATATTTTGATTAAAGATATACATTCCATATACAGAAACGATATGAAAAGATTTGAAAATAACGGAATATGTTATGGGAATCAAAATATATGAGGCCCTGTAAAACCTGCAGCAGTAAAGATGAATATTGCAAAAAAATAAAAACAAGAAAAACACACAGATTTAACATTCTTCGTAATTTATCTACATCTATAAAAATTAGAAGTTATATTGCATTATTTATCAAATTAATGTTATATAATTAATGTGTATTTATAATAAACCCTAGCTATTCAAGAGTTATATTTCACTATCCAATCAGGAGGATTCGCTCCGCTACGCTCTAACATCTGCATGCTTTATCTATATACTTGCTCCATTCAATATAAGCCACATACTCTAACAAAATCTGTCAACCGATTGAACCTACTTATAATATCAATTGAGAGAAAGGGAGAAGATGTTGAGGGGTGGCTCAACGGCCGGATAAGCAAGGTTATCGTATTAAAATGTTCTACTGTAGAAAAAGCCTACAGGTTTTGACATAAGAAAAGTACTGGCGAGCCTAAAAAAGTTCGTCAGCTTTATTATTTTTAATGTAGCTCTAAGAATATTTTAGCTGTTCACAAGTTTGAGGGGCTTATAAGATTAAAAAAATCAGCAACGACAAATCTACATCTGGTTGCTGATTCTATTACTAAATTATTTTAACAACGGATTTTTAGTATTTTTTATAACGGAATAGTCTATTGCTAATTACTATATTTTTTAGTAGTGATTATCTAGCCATAATAAATAAATAAATAAAGTAAC